TCTTACCTTTCATTTGGCTGGGTGTGGGGCATGACCTCCAATACTGTTTGCTTGTGGCCAAATTAATCACCTCTTTTAAGTATTTCCTGGAGTCTTTCCTCTTCACCTTGTCTTGGAATCTTTGACTTTAATTATCCTTACCTCCAGCCTCTCACCTCATAAATGGAGTGGCCTGCAAAGCACTCAGGAGTACATCTTCTCATTTCCCTCTGCCAGTGCTCCTGCTGGGTGACCCTTCTCATGGTGACCGGGCTTCAGGGGAGAATCAGAAGCTCAGAGATCTTAATTGACTTGGGGAAGGGGTTGCTTGGTAGCCTGTGGGAGAACCTTGAATGGTTAGTCATGGCCTGTGTGCCTGCTTGTTCTTTTGAAAGAACTTGAAACAAAGGGCTGTGATTAGGGGATACCTAGAGTGTGTGGAGGAGGCTTCTCCCCTTAGGTCCTTTCGGATCTCTGTAAAAACACCCTGCACACATCTCAACATCTGGTCTGTCTGGTGTGATGGGTCCCATTTGAGCATTTCTCCCTGGAACTGCCTAATGAGCAGAGAAGGGTCCTAAAGCCCTCTGAGTCCAAACCGCCATCCCTCTAGTGGCCTCTTCTCTGCTGGCCTCCCTGCTCCTGCTTCACGTGGCTTCTGGTTGGTATATCAGTGCTGCGCATTGTTCCCAAGGCATCCCCTGGACCTCCGCATGCTCACCCCCAGCACTGTCCTCACCCACCCATCTTCCTGCTCTGCCTTCTTTTTTTTTATACAGAGTCTCACTCTATCCCCCAGGCTAAGGTGCAGTGTCACCATCTCGGCTCACTGCAACCTTCACCTCCCAGGTTCAAGTGATCCTCCTGCCTCAGCCTCCCCAGCCTGTAGCTGAGACTACAGGTGCCCGTCACCATACCCGGCTAATTTTTGTATTTTTAGTAGAGACAGGGTTTCACCATGTTGACCAGGCTGGTCTTGAACTCCTGACCTTAGGCGATCCACCCGCCTCAGCCTCCCAAAGTGTTGGGATTACTTATTTCTTTTTATCACTGAATATGTCAATTTTTGGATGCACCAGAGTTTGTTCATCCATTCTCCTACTGAAGGATGTCTTGGGTGCTTCCAGTTTGGGGAATGCATGATTGAAACTGCTTAAACATTTATGTCCATAAGTTTTCCATTCATTTGGGGAAATACTTAGGTAAAACTATTTAAAAAATGAGATTTTAGTGGCTTTTTCCCTAAAGTCAGGAGGAAAATATCCCTCTTCCTTCTGGATAAGTTACAAAGGACAAAGCAGGAAGTGGACATAAATAAAGCCAAAGACCGTTGAATGTTCCTTTCTTTCGGGTGGGTAAGTACACTGATCTCTTGGACAGGGTCTTGGGAACAATGCGCAGCACTGATATACCAGCTCACCTTTCCATTAGCTAGTGTGGAACCGATAGGCAGTTGGATTGGTTGTCACTGAAGTCTTTTAGAAACCTAGACAAATAACCCAGGTTAACCAGGTTTGTTCTGTGCATTTTTCTTAGGGGATGGGAGCCGGTTATAATGGGTGACTATGAGTGGGAAGATAGTGACTTTGAACTGATTTTATTTTTTCTCAGTTTGCCTAATTATTATTTTTTTGTTTTGTTTTTGCTTTTTTTAAATTTTTTATTGCATTTTAGGTTTTGGGGTACATGTGCAGAACATGCAAGATAGTTGCATAGGTACACACACACGTGGCAGTGTGATTTGCTGCCTTCCTCCCCTTCACCCACATTTGGCATTTCTCCCCATGCTATCCCTCCCCAGCTCCCCCCACACTGTCCCTCCCCTATTCCCCCCAATAGATCCCAGTGTGTAGTACTCCCTTTCCTGTGTCCATGTGTTCTCATTGTTCATCACCCGCCTATGAGTGAGAATATGCAGTATTTCATTTTCTGTTCTTGTGTCAGTTTGCTGAGAATGATGTTCATCCATGTCCCTACCAAGGACACGAACTCATCATTTTTGATTGCTGCATAATATTCCATGGTGTATATGTGCCACATTTTCCCAGTCCAGTCTATCATCGATGGTCATTTGGGTTGATTCCAGGTCGTTGCTATTGTAAACAGTGCTGCAATGAACATTCGTGTGCATGTGTCCTTATAGTAGAATGATTTATAGTCCTTTGGATATATACCCAGTAATGGGATTGCTGGGTAAATGGTCAGTTTTCCTAATTATTACATTTAATGTGTCCTCCCCGGTTTTAGGACATTTCTTAGATTTTAAAAGCGTTTATTTTTTCTTTTGCATTTTCTCTTAGTTTTGGCCTTTCATTTATATCATTCTTCTAATCATTGTGGTTGTTCTCTAGGCTTTCATGGCCCCAGAATTATGCAGCTTAGTTTTATTGCTCTTGGCAATTGTGCCTTTTACCTCGCCTCTTTAGGATGTTTTTCACCACAGTATTTGTTCTGAACCAAATTTCTTCTTTACTGCTTTCGCATTCTTCCCAGGCAAAGAGGTTTAATTTCATTTGAAACAAACTGTAGCCTTCCTTTAGATTTAGATAGTACTGCTGTTTATAATCAGGGTTCATGGAATGACAGTCTGGAATATTGCTGGCATACTATTTTATGTGTGCACACGTGTGTGTTGGAATTACCGTATATACTTGAATACAAGTCAAGCTGATAGTATGTCTTCATTATCTTCAGAAAAGAAGAAGCACCTCCCAGAGTCCTTGCAAATATCTCATGTTATAAGGGACACAATTTCAATTGTAGTATTTTATTTTCAATAACAAAACACTAGTTGGAGAAGACACATAAACCTTGATTTGGCTTACTGATGACTTTGGGTGCTCTAGAAATCACTTGAAGAACCCAGTAGGAAGGAAGGCAAAAGCATTTTACGTGGCTTTCATAATAACTTCTCGCCAGGTGCGCTGGTTCACGCCTGGAATCCCAGCACTTTGGGAGGCCGAGGCAGGCGGGTCACCTGAGGTCAGTAGTTTGAGACGAACCTGATCAAAATGGAGAGACCCTGTCTCTATTAAAAATACAAAAAAATTAGCCAGGCATGGTGGCACAAGCCTGTAATCCCAGCTACTTGAGAGGCTGAGGCAGGAGAATTGCTTGAACCCAGAAAGCGGAGGCTGTGGTGAGCTGAGATTGTGCCCTTGCACTCCAGCCTGGGCAACAAGAGTGAAACTCTGTCTCAAAATATTAATAATAATAATAATAATAATAATAACTTATAGAGGTACGGCCCCATGATTGTGATAGTTTGAGAGACCAGTCTCAGAACAGTTCACTGAGTGATTCATTTATGGAGATTTTAAATGGGCGCGTATGATTTGGGATAAGAGTTCCAGCAAATACATCATATGCAAATTTTAAAAATGTTTTATCTCAAATATCCAGTCACCTGAAAGATCATGTTACATTGAAACACTGCACAATGGCTCAGAAAGTCTGGCGTGACCAGTTTGAAATTGTTTCATGAAATGTGAGTGTGGAAATACTATTTCTTAAATTAAAACTATGTTAACATTTTAATATATGTTCTTCAAAGATAAGTAGTATAAATAGTCATTTAATAATTATATTGCATTCCTAAAAATTATACGTTTATGTTTTCCAAAAACCTCTCACTGAGGGACAAGGTCTTCCTGTTGGAAAAGCAAGGATGTTACCTTATATTTGGCATCATGCTGTATTTGGACATATATGATCTCTTTAAAAGTCAGACACAGTTTTGAAGTATTCTGTGCATTGTTTCATTTGGAGTGAAGGGAGAGTGTATGATTCGTCTTCCTGTTTGTGGGAGCGCTGGAATGGGGAATGTCTGTTTATATCCCCAGTTTGAACACATATCTCCCTTCTCAGCCAGCGCCCAGCCCTAAGGCTATTGGCAACTTTGAATCTGTTGGACACTTTTTAGAGCTCATCCTTTTTTCTGCATTTGACTCCTTAATTCCGTTTTTTTTGGAGACGAAGTGTCGCTCTGTTGCTGGGCTGGAGTGCAGTGGCGCAATCTTGGATCACTGCAACCTCTACCTACCGGGTTCAAGCAATTTTCCTGCCTCAGCCTCCCAAGTAGCTGGGACTACAGGCGTGCACCACTATGCCTTGCTAAACTTTATATCACCACGCCCTGTTAATTTTTGTATTTTTAGTAGAGATTGGGTTTCTCCATGTTGGCCAGAATGGTCTCAATCTCTTGACCTTGTGATCCACCCATCTTGGCCTCCCAAAGTGCTGGGATTACAGGCGTGAGCTACCACGCATGATCCTGGTCTCACTTCTCCCTTCCACTTCCTCCCGTCACCTCAGTGTCAATCCGTGGTGGCATCACCTATTATCTAATTAGCTATCTTCATCCCATCTGGAACTTACATCCCTTTAGCTCTGTAAAGTTAACATATTCTCAGGCGTGACACCAGGAATTAGGACACCGACATATTTGGAGTCCATTATTCTGCCCATGGTAGTATCTGTCTGCTGAGTAGATGAATTTAGCCTCACTTGCCAGTTTGTCATGATCCTTGGGCTTGAAACATGGAGGTCACTGGACTCATCAGTTAAGTTGGCTCTCACTTGCTTTTTTTTTTTTTTAATTTATTCTTCAAATCTGGTGTTGCTCACAGTGTCATCAACCCAGGGCCACATTCGTATGAACGATTTCCCTGGCCACTCAGGCAGTGTCATCTTGAATGATGTATTTCACTCTCGCCACATAATGGTTCTGCTTGACTTCCAGGTTCCCATTTAGGTCTTGCTTTTTCCAGAAGCTTTTCATGATCCCTTCTGCCCTCTTTGCTCTCTGTCATCTCTAAAATTCTTCAGCTTTTATAGTCTACGGCAATTAATTATTAATATTTCATGTCTAAAATATTTACTTGTTGATTGAGTTTTGGCAGAAAGCTTTATGGGTTGGTTAGAAGTGGCTCTAAAACCAGTTCATTGCCCTTCAGAAGCAAAATGTAATTCCATTATTTCGAATGCTTATCTGAAATGTTGTGTGGTTTTGTTTATTTCAGAGACTTGAAGATAGAGAATTTGCTACTAGATGAAGACAATAATATCAAGCTGATTGGTATGACTTCTTTTTTTAAAGCAAAATTATCTTTTAAGTGTTGTGTTGTCAGTTCTCAGCTTTGAAAATTGTCCATGGCCTTCCTCTAATACCCAGACAATATTCTAGATTGTCTTCTTTTACCTCCAATATTTAATAATGGTTTTTATGATGAAAATTAATTGAAATAATAGCTTTAAAATTTAATTTTAATAATAATGTGAACCTAATTAGGAGGGTAAAAATACTGTAACTCAGCCAAGAAATGGATTTCACAGCCACCAAATAAATATATCTTGGTCATGTGTTTCCTTGTCTTATTCAAACTATACCTTCTCCATAAATTCAAATGGAGCTGACCTTTTGTAGTTTTGAAGAGTTTATTTTTATTTGGATTAACTGGAAAACTTTTTTTTTTTCTTTGAGACAGAGTTTTGCTCTTGTTGCCCAGGCTGGAGTGCAATGGTGCGATCTTGGCTCACTGCAAACTCCGCCTCCTGAGTTCAAGTGATTCTCCTGCCTCAGCCTCCTGAGTAGCTGGGATTACAGGCATGCTCCACCAAGCCTGGCTAATTTTGTATTTTTAATAGAGACGGGGTTTCTCCATGTTGGTTAGGCTGGTCTCAAACTCCCGACCTCAGGTGATCCGCCCGCCTCAGCCTCCCAAAGTGTTGGGATTACAGGTGTAAGCCACTGCTCCCTTCCAGAAAACTCCTTAAATAGTGAAAGACAATTTGGCTTAGAAATGCTTCTCATAGCTTTGCCATGTCTTATTCCACTTCGCAGTGAATGCAGGGATGCCTAAAATAAAGGGGAACACAATTGACCTTCTGTTTTTAATATAATCTTTATTCAGGCTTGTTGGTACAATGGAAGCTGTGCAGAGAGGTCCCCACAGAGAGGTACTTAGAAATCTGAACCAATTAGAAGGAAGCTACAAGATGGAGTATCATAATGGGTTCACAATTCAGGGTCCATAGCGAATTTAATATGACTCATTTTCTAGAAGGATTCAGGTGGTTCTGTTGTTGTTATTGTCTCCCTCTATGGTTGCTCTGGGCAGAATTCAGGGCATCATTTTTATGTCCAGATATTAGATGGCACCATCTTTTATTCCTCTCTCTTTTTTCTCCCACCTCAAATGCAAGTAATTTCTTACACCTCAATGACTTGAAAAGACTTTATATGAGGGGAAAAAAGAAAGATCAATAGGACTTTGTGAATTTAACTTTTTTACCCAAGAAGGAATTTTTGTTTGGCAAATACTGGAAGTCATTACAAGATTCTCCAGAATACATCCTTAAAATGACTTTTTAGATATTTTGGAATTATAGTAAGCTCCCAATTCAGTACCAGGCAAGAGGCTGCAGAGACTCTGGATAATTAAACACTACTGATAGGTGTTGATGGATACACCTATTTGAAAATTAACTGTGAAGAGGAAACCAATTTTTCCCCAGAAGCACTTAGAAGAGTCTATTCTTAGAAGACTCTTAGATAATTCAAAAGATTTTCTTTTTCTTTTCTTTTCTTTTCTTTTTTTTTTTTTTGGAGACAAAGTCTTGCTCTGTTGCCCAGGCTGGAGTGCAGTGGTGCAATCTTAGCTCACTGCAGCCTCTGTCTCCCAGGTTCAAGCAATTCTCCTGTCTCAGCCTCCTGAGTAGCTGGGATTATAGGTATGCACCACCACACCCACCTAATTTTTGTATTTTTAGTAGAGACGGGGTTTCATCATGTTGGCCAGGCTAGTCTCAAACTCCTGACTTTAGATGATCTGCCCACCTCAGCCTTCCAAAGTGTTGGGATTACAGGTGTGAGCCACTGCAACAGGCCAATTTTCTTTTTGTTAAATTGTTTTACTACTGCGTTTTAGTTGTCTTGAGAGCCAAGTGCAGAAGCTGGAAAACAAGGTGCTTGTGTTGAAATGCTTGCAGTATATCTCTCTGGTCCTCATTTCTGCATCCTGAGTGTTAAACAAAGGGGCTTCCTGATGGGGAACGGAGTTTTTTGCTTTAGGTTCTCTGGCAGGCTGACCCCTGGAACTGTTCTTTGGAAAATATGGAGGTGACAGTGACAGAGTTGTCCTAACAGCAGCAGAGACTGTAAGAGAACAGGCTTTATAACAGTGGTATTTATATGACAGTAAAAGTTAGAATAGGCCAGGTCTGGTGGCTCATGCCTGTAATCCCAGCACTTTGGGAGGCCGAGGCAGGTGGATCACCTGAGGTCAGGAGTTCGAGACCAGCCTGGCCAACATGGTGAAACCCTGTCTCTACTAAAAATATAAAAAATAGCCACCTGTATCTGGTGGCACATGCCTGTAATCCCAGCTACTCAGGAGTCTGAGGCAGGAGAATTTCTTGAAACCTGGGAGGTGAAGGTTGCAGTGAGCCAAGATTGTGCCACTGTACTCCAGCCTGAGTGACAGAGCAAGACTCCAAAATAAAAAGTATGAGAAGAATTCACTTCCACAGGGCGACTTGCAGACTGAGGCTGGTGAGTAGTGTAAGGTTGCAGACAGAGTTTCCACATCTCAGCTGGGCATTGTCCATCCTGTTTCTTCCCTTCCCTCTTGCCCCTCTGTCTCCTCTGTGCTTGGTCTCTCTGTTTTCTCCTTAAGTGATTACCCTAGGTGACCACTGACAGAACTATCTTGTGGAATAAGCAATGGTGAAATGCACAGACCTTTTTGTGGGTTGAACCTTTGCTCAAGGGATTCTAGAAAAACCAATCATTTCACTGCTACAGTCAGTGGATGCATTTATAAGGAGCTCACAGATTGGTTGAATACTAAAACCTCTTAGAGGAGACCTGTCCAAGTCAAGTGAGGAAATTATACACCTAAAGCAGAGGCTGCCCTCCGACCTTGCTGCATGTGATGGTCACTCTCTGGGTGCCAGAAACCATTTTATTCAAATCCCTGAGTCATTGCCTCTGCTGGCACTACAAAGACATTTCAGGTCTTTGGGACAAAATTGGGCCCTTCAGAAAGCAGGCTGCCTGCACCTGCTTGAAAAGAGGCAGTGATTGTTGGATTTCCCTTTGTTAACTGAGCCCATTTGGTTGCCAGTTCTCTCCTGACCAGTGAAAACTGAGAAGCCCTACCTCACACCTGCCCCAGAGAGAGCCCTCCCTCACACCTAACCCGAAGGCTGGTGGAAACTGCATTTTGTTAAGAAAGAACGCATTTCCTCACTCACTCAGAGAGATGAAGGCCCAGTCAGTGTCTTGTGAGGTTTCTTGCCCCTGGCTTGGGCAATTTGGATCAAAGGTCTTCCAACTTCTGTCTTTTTGTGACTTGAAAGCTCTTTGAACCTTCTTTTCTTCAAAGGCATTACCTACTTGTTGTTTCAAAGGTGATTATAGCTATTATGATTGCCTCTTAATAGTTTCTCTTTCTTTGAAAGAATTTGGTTTAAATAAGTCTACTTAAGCCATGTTTCAAATTAACTAGAATTACCAGGAGTAAGATTTGATTTAATTAGGAGGTTTTTTTTCCCTTTCAAAAAAAGCTGTCTGATGTTTTGTAGGTTTAATCTTAAAATGGAAGAGCTGCAGCTTGGAACAGTCTTGCACTTCAGTATTCCAAGGCAGGGCTCGCTCGGGCATTTTGTGAGGTTGCTTTTGCAGCTCTCAGAGAATTGGGTGGTCATTGGCTGATATCTTTACCAAATCTAACTGAGGCAGACCCATGTGACATTGCTGGGAGGTGGCCTTCTCTCTAGTTCCACAATTCCAATTATAGCCAGATGTGTACAATTTTAATAATTACATTTATGGATGTGAAGCAAACTGGTCGTTTCTCTACAAATGTGTTTTAAATGAAACCCTTTTGGCTCCATCAACCTAAGTTTCCTAACATGCAGATGCTATCTCCTCCACCTCCCAGATCCTCTGCTAAGCTATGTTCTTGAAACTGCTCAAGATAAGGCCAGGCTGTTCCCAAACTTGCCTGGGATGGTGGAGGGCGATCTGGCCTCTTATCTCTCTCTCTCTCTCTCTCTCTCTCTCTCTCTCTCTCTCTCTCTCTCTCTCTCTCTCTCTCTCTCTCTCTGCCCTCTTCTGAGAATAAGTCCTTCTTTCTGGTCCCGGGGAGGTGAAGAAGAACAGAGTGAGGCAGCCCTTTGCTGTGAAGGGAACCCTGCTGAGATTAGGAACGGAGTCAGAGTCTTTTGCTTTGATTTCAGAAATTTAGAGATAATTTCGAGGACTCTGAGGACACTGGGGCTCCCCAGCTGTTACTGTTTTTATTTGATGGTGCTGTCTCTCAACGTAGGTGGTCTTCATGCATTTGTTTGTTCCTTAACATTCTTTTAGGTTCATTTTCAAACTGAAAGCAATCAAACAACCCTCCAATTTAAAGCATGATATGATTTTTCTTCTCCTGAAGGACTTACCTTGGGCAGGGTTTGTGGGGTCTATGGGCGCTGGCTGGGTTGATGGGAAAGGAAATGGGGTGTGGGGGAAGGTTGGGGTGAAGAGTAGGGGAATCAAGGAGGAGAGAGGGAAAGAGGTTAAGAGAGAAAAATGGAATCATAAAAAACAAAAGAAAAGTTCAGTGTTTGAACATGCAGCATTCCTAGTTGGTTTGTTCGCCATTCCCTCTTACAGTTAGGGCTGAAGTGTTTGGGTGACATTTAGAGCCTTTAAGAGTTTTCTGAGGTCCGCTTGGATGGGATTCTCTTTAGAAAAGCTTAACCCAATGACTTTTGGAAAACTTTTTGGCTGTGACATCTTGATCCATGGTGTGCAATTGACTTCACGGACTGGACTGTATTCCTCCTCCCCTGAGATTTCCTACAACATTCCTTGCAGTAATGTGCCTTGCAGGTGGAGACATGTTAGAGAGAGCTGAAAATACACTCATGAAACTAGACATCATATTGCCGATTGAGAAACTTCGAGAGTCTCGTTCAAGACTGGAAGCCTGTCTCTGCCTGAGCCCTGCAGCCTGAGTCTTCTGTTTGAGGGGGGTTGGGCCATAATATTTACACTGAAGTTCAAAGGATGAACTGTGATCTTAATTCTGAGATCAACAAAGATTAGGGAAAGATTCGAATGAGGGCATAACACTAACAGCTCTCTAATTACCTGCCAGTTTCAGTATCTTTAAGATCAAAAGGTAAACATGGGGCAGAAGGCATAGTAGACCCGAAGTCGCTATAGCTGCATTGCGCTTTCTACCCCCTCTTCCTGGGTATGTTAATCATCCAGGAACAAAGCGGCGCCATGAGGTCGCTCTGTCTAGTTTGCATCGCCCTTTTTCTGGTGCTACTTTTCCAGCCAACATTCAGGGTTGTCTGTACTGGTGGGCATATTTTTCCCCTCTTCTAGTCACTATATGTGCTGCATGTCTTTGGGGGAATTTTAAAAAGGCTTCCATGAAACGAAAACATTCAACTGAAAAAGTCAACTGTAAATGGCTGGATCGAATGTCACTGAGGGTGACACAGGGAAAATCAATCTTCCTTCATCTTTTCCCCAGTTGGCGGCTTGGAAGCTACCTCCAATCCCCTGTGCCTGTTCTTTCTTTCTGCCTTGGTCCTAGAAAGCAAATTCTCTCTTTTTTTCCCCGGGTGACTCATTTACAAGAGTGGATGGAAATAGGTTTTTGTGCAGCATACCGTTCGCTCTAGCTGGCTTTTACAGTGAGGCCCGGTGTCATGTGCTCTCAGCTAAGCCAGGGAACCAGCACCTGACATTCTTTCGCCTTGAGTCTCCTATCCAGAGGTTATGGTTTGCAGCTGCTACGTTTTTCTTTAGGATGCTAAATTATGTGTTAGCCTGAGAGAATGTTTCCTTTCCTGCTGCCCTTTTTATTTTTTATTTTCCCCCCCTCTTCATTTCCGCAGTTTTCTGATTCAGAGCTTGTTTTCTCCTCTCTTTGCAGACTTTGGTTTGAGCAACTGCGCAGGGATCCTGGGTTACTCGGATCCGTTCAGCACACAGTGTGGCAGCCCCGCCTACGCCGCACCCGAACTGCTCGCCAGGAAGAAATATGGCCCCAAAATCGATGTCTGGTCCATGTGAGTTATCGAGCTTCTGAAAGTGACTCTTCCTCCTGCTGTCTCCACCGTGCCTGTCTTGGGAAATCATGCTTGAGTATTGATGGCATGCATTAGGTGACAGGCCGAGGGAGCATGTCGTCAGGGGTTCTTTGGGGCTGCATCTCTGTTCCTTCTGGTGTTTTCTGCACAAACTGTCAGAGTGGCCTCTACCAAAACTTACTGAGGGGCTGAGGAGAGAAGAAAAGAAGTCCTGCCCTCACAGAGCCCGCATTCTATCCTCACGACTCATTTCTGTCCCTTCCTTGGCCCTTAGCTTCCCACCGCCCTCCGTGTGAAACTCATCCTGCTGCCTGGCCTGCACTCCTTGCGGACTTGTTCTCATGTCTCCTGCCTCCCCGGGCACTGCCCTGCCCTCTGCTCACAGTTCTTCAGACAAAACATTGGCCTCCCTTTTGTCTCTCCCATCTCTGAGGTTTTTTTTTTTTTTTTTTGAGACAGTGTCTTGCTTTGTCACCCAGGCTAGAGTGCAGTCGTGTGATGTCAGCTTACTGCAGCCTTCCCTTCCTGGGTTCAAGTGATTCTTGTGCCTCAGCCTCCTGAGCAGCTGGGATTATAGGTGTATGCCACCAAGCCCAGCTAATTTTTGTATTTTTAGTGGAGTTTTAGTGGGGTGTCACCATGTTGGTCAGGCTGGTCTCGAACTCCTGACTTCAGGTGATCCACCTGCCTCGGCCTCCCGAAGTGCTGGGGTTACAGGCATGAACCATGAACCTGGCTATTCACTTGTGATACCTGGAATGCCCTTTCCCAGCTCTTTGGATGGCCCGCCCATTCCCACATCCCAGTCCCAATCCAATGGCACCACTGCTGAGACCGTCTCTGAATTCCCTGCCAGAGAGTCCCCCATACTCTCTTCTCACCCTTTTAATTTCCTCTTCACCACCTCTCACTGCCTGTCCTTTTCCTGTTCTAAATCTTTTCCTCTCCTGTCTCCCAGCCAGCAAGGACTCTCCACAGGGGGAGGGAATTGATTGGTGTGGTTCACCATTTTGTTCCCAGGGTCTGGTACAGGAAGGGCCACCAGGGTAAGCACAATGACTGTTTGAAGGATGAACCCTCAGTTGCATCACAGATAGAGCCTGGGTCCCTCATGATCCCAGTGAGTCACCCCCCTTCAGCATACCCTGAGTACAGGGTTAGCTCAGAGTCTTGGATTCTGGGGTAGGACTCAATCCTTTGCCATAGGGGAAGGAGCTGGACAGAGTGAGGTCCTGAGTAAGATATAGGCAACGTGGTGGCCCACGCCTATAATCCCAGCACTTTTGGAGGCTAAGGCAGGCGGATCACCTGAGATCAGGAGTTTGAGACCAACATAGAGAAACCCCGTCTTTACTTAAAAAATACAAAATTAGCCGGGCATGGTGGTACATGTGCATGCCTATAATCCCAGCTACTTTAGAGGCCGAGACAGGAAAATCACTTGAACCTGGGAGGCGGAGCAACAAGAGTGGAAAAAGTATATATAGAGAGACAAGAAGGGCTTGTTTGCGTGAAGGGTGTGTTGATCCGGCATATTTCTGGAACTCCCCTGCCTCTCTTCACTCTAACTCTCTTGTCCAGGTTGGCAGAAAAGTTAACCCTTGCTCAGTGTTTGATGTGTGCCAGACATCATGTCCCTTAGTTTACACAATGACCCGGTGCAATTGTTACTCTCTATTACACTATTTTATGGAAGAAAAAACCCATCATAAGAGAAATGAATAAAATCACCGAAGGTCACACAGCTGCTAAATGGTGGAGTGAGATTTGAACCAGGCAGTGTCCTTTCGGGGTCTTAGGATACAGCCCCAGCTCTCCACGTGGCAGGCGGGGGCCCTTGCTTGCCCTGTGGCCTTGTTGAAGGCATGCCCCCTTCCCATCTCTCCCCACCTATTCTCTGGCTAACTTGGCATTGTTTCCTGTTCCCTGAACACAGCCTGTGCCTGTTACATTCCAGCCTTACACGCACAGATCCTTCAGCCTGGAACCCTCTCCTTTTCTGTCTTGTTTTGTTGGGTGCCGGATCCTCTGGGCAGCCCTCCCATGTCCCCTCCAGCCCCCTGCTCTCTGTGTTCCTGGGCCTCACCATGAGGTCTTTGTCCACCTGCTAGAACTCTCTGGGCTGCAGCTGAGAGGGCAGGGGCCACTTGGCTTGTTCCCAGGATTTCCTCAACACCTGGTGGAGCCTGGAGGAAGGGAAGGAGAAAAAAAGCAAGGTGAGAAGGAGGAGAAAGGAAAGCAGGGAAGGAGGGAAGGAAGGAGGATGGAAGGGAAAAGTGAAAGACGGACAGGAGGAAGGAGTGGGCATTTCATCCAGAGAAACAGAAGCTGGAAAGTCAGGGCAGAAGCTGGCAGAGAAAGCAAACAGAGGAATGTGGATCAGCCAAAGGTTTAGCAGTGAGAGGCGCTCAGGATGTTCTGGTTAGAAATTGAGAAGAAACAGACCAGAGCAAGATATGGAGAGATAGGGAGAATTCCCAGAACTTTCCTGGGTGCTCCAGTCATTCACTCCGGATCCTCAGTCCTGTGAGGCACATCTCTTGCCCCCAGTTTGCACAGACAGAAAAGAGGGTTGAGCATTGCCCAGATGAGCCCACCTGTAGTGGCGCTGCACTTTGCCAAAGCCTGGGCTCCCAGTCCCTTCGCAGGTGTGGTCTTGTGTGCAGGCTGCATGTGGGCAGTGTGTGTGTGCTGATGATGGGGCCACATGGAGCCGGTGGAGTGGAGCAAGGAACAGCAGAGGATGAGAGGATGCCTTCTCTTCTAGGGCATGGCTAGTCACAGACTTCGCTTCTGAGAAGTCCTCTGAATCCCTCTCAATACAGCTGGGACTCCTGGCAGCTAATACCAGTGGATCAGAGTTGTATATGGGAGGAAATCCATTATGGATTTAAGAACTCTCACAGGTGTCTGGCACACTGTCTTCCCTCAATAAATATGTATTGAATGGATGACTATGAATATGTGAGTCTATAATCACTTTCCTAACAGAGAACTCATTTATGCTAAATGGGAAGCTATGACAGGAAGAATACACGCACACACACATGCACATGGCTATGGGAGCCTGAAAGACCACAAGGTCCCCTGTCTTTGTCTGTTTCTTGTTGCTGCAAAGGAATACCAGAGGCTGCGAAATTAATGAGGAAAAGAGCTCTATTTCACTCACAGTTCTGCAGGCTGTACAAGAAACATGGTGGCAGCATCTGCTTCTGGTGAGGCCTCAGGCTGCTTCCACTTGTGGTGGAAGGTGCAGGGGACCAGTGTGTGCAGAGGTCACATGGTGGGAGAGGAAGCAAGAGAGGGGAGGTGCCAGGCTCTTTGTAACGATCAGCTTGTATTGATTTGTCCCATCTGCCTAAAAACCTTTGAGGTAGTGTTGTGTTATTCCCAATTTATGGAAACTGAGGCATGAAGAGCCTCAGCCAGTTGCTCAAATGACACAACCAGTGTGTGACAGAGCCAGGATTTGACCTACATGATTTGCCTCTAGGCTTCTGAATCACCACCCTCTACTGCTTCTGTTGTGTTATACTTCCTCTGGTGAGATGTACAGGCTGGTGGGACAAACAGCTGGTATTTTAAAAAAACTATAAACTGAGTGTGGTAAGAGCTGTGGAGGAAGTGAGAGGGATTCAGGGAAAGGGATGGAGTGGCCTCTTGAAGAGGACTTCAAAGCCACATCCTAAGGATCAGAAGGAACCAGCTATGGGAGGAGGAAGGTGTCAGGGAAGAAGGCCAGGAAAGGTCAAAAGTAAACTGATGAGTAAAAACCAGATTTTTGGTTATGGCAGCCCAAGCACATTTGGCTGCACAGCTGGGTTAAGTCGAGAAGGCATCTGTATGCAAGACTGATCTGTTCCTGAAAGATGAGTGGAGTTGGCCTGGTGGAGCACAGGCGGGGAAACGTTCCAGACAGAGGGAACACCATATTCCAGACAGAGGGAACAAAAGGCTGGTAGGTGTGACACATCTGATTCTTCCTCTTAATCTTGGCCAAAACATAAAACTTCAGAGTTTTTTTTTTTTTTTTTGAGACAGAGTATTGCTCTGTTGCCCCGCTGGAGTGCAACAGTGCAATCTCGGCTCACTGCAACCTCTGCATCCCAGGTTCAAATGATTCTCCTGCCTCAGCCTCCTGAGCAGCTGGGATTATAGATGCATGTCACCATGCCCGGCTAATTTTTTGTATCTTTAATAGAAATGGCGTTTCACTATGTTGGCCTGGCTGGTCTTGAACTCCTGACCTCTTGATCCACCTGCCTTGGTCTCCAATGTGCTTGTACTACAATGTGCCCGGCCTTTTTTTTTGTTTGTTTTTGAGACAGAGTCTTTCTCTATCACCCAGTGCAGTGGCATGATCTCGGTTCACTGAACCTCTGCCTCCTGTGTTCAAGTGATTCTCTTGCCTCAGCCTCCTGAGTAGCTGGGACTACAGTCATGTGCCACCACGCCCAGCTAATTTTTGTATTTTTAGTAGAGATATGGTTTCACGATGTTAGCCAGGATGGTCTCGATCTCTTGACCTTGTGATCCGCTAGGCTCAGCCTCCCAAAGTGCTGGGATTACAGACCTGAGCCACCAGGCCCGGCCCAGACCTTTTAAGAGATTAATTTTCTACTGCTTTGGGGTATTGTGTCTGAGATATGGGTTAGGTTTCTGTTTGATGCCCATGACTTTGCTGGCAGAAGTGGAAATGGAAAACCCAAAGTGAATTTAGTTTAGAAGGCTGTTTAAAATGATGGTGAAAATGGAACCAATTTTCTCCCTGGGTTAGACACTGTTATTATAAAATGACTTCTCTTTTTATGGCTCTGAAACAAGAACAGAATGAAGAGTTCACTTCCAACAAAGCAAACTCCCCTCCCGGAAAGGCTTTGGACCCTGATGGATGGCAGGGACTTTATCCACAACTTCTGAGACTGATTTAGGAAAAAAAAAAAAAAAAATCAGCCTGACATTGAAAGAAACCCTGGGAA